TCATAAAACAGCATGTGTGTTACTGTTACATGAGAAACTATCTGTTCTGTAAGCCTTCACCTGAAGTACAATAAAATATTAAAAAAAAAAAAAGTACCGAATTAAGTACTATACAAAACAGTACATTAGTGCGTTCAGAATAGCCTAGATAGAATGTTCTGTAGTTTGGCTGGAGCATTGGGTTTGTGTAAAGGGTTTGTGTGAGACAAAGGTAGAAACCATAGAAAGGAATAAAATTGTGCAGGGCCTTGAATATTTTGGATGTGATGTTGGCTTTTGTTCAGGAGGCCATAAAGAGCCATTAAAATCCATTGGGAAAAATAACAAGCTACTTGATGATTCTGAGCAGAAAAATTATTCTGATACCAAATAAAACTACTCTTTCAGATATTCAGTATCAGATCTTGTGTATCATTGAGGATGATTCACAATTCCATTAAGTACTGAAGGTCATTCTGTCTTTCACATGGCGTGCAGGCAGAAACCATGGGCGTCTATCACAGGAAGACTCAAATTTTATCCTAATGTAATATTTCACCTGCAAGTTTCCCTTTAGTGGTCATGACCTCTTCTCATTTTCAAACCCTGAAAATAATGAGTTGAAGTTGTTGAATGCTTAGCTGTATGTCTCCTGCATCTAAGCATGGGCCTCTTATAGCATGTGGTAATAATAAGAGAAATCGTCTATTGAGGACTTAATATGTACCAGGCATGGTATTTTCAATCACCCTATATTCCTGCGAAAGCTGGAAAATCAATAAGAAAGACCTAAGAAGAATTGATGTCTTTGAATTATGGTGTTGGCCAAGAATATTGAATATACCATGGACTGCCAGAAGAATGAACAAATCTGTCTTGGAAGAAGTACAGCCAGAATGCTCGTTAGAAGCAAGGATGGCGAGACTTCGTCTCATGTGCTTGGGTCATGTTATCAGGAGGGACCAGTCCCTGGAGAAGGACATCATGCTTGGTAAAGTAGAGGGTCAGTGAAGAAGAGGAAGACCCTCAACGAAATGGATTGACACAGTGGCTGCAACAGTGGGCTCAAACATACTTAACTATTGTGAGGGGGCACAGAACCGAGCAATGTCGTGTTCTGTTATACATGGGGTCTCTGTATGAGTCGGAGCTGACTCGACGGCGCCTAACAACAACAGTAGGCACCGTACTGAGTATCTTATATTTAATATTTCATTTAATCCTCATGGCGGCCCTATGAGATAGATACTATTATTATTCTAAGTTTATACATGTAGGAACTGAGGCACAAATAAGTTCAGTAACCATCCCAAGGCCACACATCTCCAAGTTTTCAGAGGGGATTTGAACCTAGGCAGGCGGATGCCAGAGCCTATGCTGTTATCCAGTACATAGTAGGTGTTCACTAAATGAGACTCAAATCTTTATTATAATGTATCTCCTGTCCGAGTTATCAGATTCAGAAATTCATGTGTGAAGGTTATAACTCTGTGCAGATAGTCAGAAAATGGTTCTATGGTTTTTGACTCCACTCCCTTCCCCTAACATTGTGAAAATAGTAAAATGTTTTACCCATACTTAAGCTTAGCCCAGCATTAAGCAAATATAATTTATGGAAACCTGCATTGATAAAACAAGACATTAGGGAATTAATCACTTTACAAAGCAATTCACCATAGGATTCCTTTAAATATGAGTTTCTCTCATGCCTTTAAATTATAATTGGCTTTACATACAACTTTTTTATATTATAATATAGTTGTATTATGATATTATGTATATTATAAATAGAAATACAGTTACCTGTAAAAAGTGCATGCTTTGAATTTTCTTTCATAATTTGTGAAATGCAAATTGATCGGTATAGTAGGCAGAATAGTGCCCCTCAAAAGATGTCCACATCTTAGCCCCTAGAACCTGTACATAAATGTTATTTTATGTGGCAAAGGGGAATTAAGGTGGCTAATCAATAGATGAGGGAGCCTTGGTGGAGCAATGGTTAAGTGCTCGGTTGCTAACCGAATGGTCAGCGGTTTGAAACCACCAGTTACTCTGCAGAAGAAAGATCTGGAGATCTGCTCCCATAAAGATACAGCCTGGGAAACCCTACGGGGTCGCTATGAGTCAGAATGGACTCGACGGCACACAACAACAATCAGCAGATGGGGAGATTATCCGGAATTATCCAGATCAGCCCAGTGTAATCACAAGGATCCTTAAAGTTAAAGAGGGAGGCAGAAGAGGGAGTGTGTCAGAGAAAGAGATGGTTGGAGAGATGCCATGTTGCTGGATCCGAAGATGGAGGGAAGGAGTCATGAGCCAAAGAATGTAGGCGATCTCTGGAAGCTGGAAAAGGCAAGGAAACAAATTCACCACTAGAGCCTCCAGAAGGAAACACGGCTCTCTTAACAGTTTGATTTTACTTCAGTGAGACCCATGTCATGCTTCTGACCTCCAGAACTATAAGATAATAAATTTGTATTGTTTTAAGTCACTAAGTTTTTGGTAATTTGTTACAACAGCAATAGAAAACTAATATAATAGTTAACCAAAGATTGATTATGCAGTTTGTGTCTTAACTATCTCCAGGGTTGCAAATTCCAGTGCCTACAGGACCAGGCAGAAACCATAAATTCATTAAGTGGGTAATGGATCTGAGGCAACTTGGTGACCACGTGACCCTGCTGAAGGGAACAGCTTTCACTTGTCTCCAGCTAATTGTTGCTTTGCTGTCGTTGAGCTAGGCTGTTTGCTTGGCCTCTTTTTATCCCCAGCTGCTCAAATTTTAGCCACTGATTTTTTTTTTCAGTGAGATATCATGCATATACCATAAAAACGCTTATTTTAAAACTGCTACCAAACAGTAGATGAAGGAAGGCAAAGGGCAGTAAACCAAATTGATCATATGATACTATGTGGCTCTTAAATTAATAGGGAAGAATTTGAAATGTGAAGGCCATAACGAGGTTTGGGAATTGTCTCTGGTTATGGTTTTCATTTATCCCTGCTATTTTCCATTACCATTGATTTTGGGAGCTGAATAAAAATCCTGTATTCTTCTGGTTTCATCTCCTAAGCCATAGCAGTAATATCATATTTCAGGATTTGTCCCAGCTACGATGGGCAAGAGGGAAAGGTTAAGCCAGATTCAGGTAAAAATGTCTCAGAGATTTTGTCAAGATTATTTTTTCCTGTAAGAATTGTGTGTTCAAACACCTCTACAACAAAAAGACAAACAATCCTATTAAAAAATGGGCTAAGGAAATGAACAGACACTTCATCAAAGAAGACATTCAAATGGCCAACAGACACATGAGGAAATGCTCCCGATCACTAGCCATTAGAGAAATGCAAATTAAAACCACAATGAGATA